CACACACACACACACACACACACGCACACACACACAACACACACACACACACACACACACACACACACACACACACACACATGCGGACGGGCACGCGTGCATGGGCGATGACGCCAAGAAGACGGTCATGGTGATGGTTAGGACGTTGACAATCGAGGAGGAGCAGAGGGAGGGGTGATGAGGAGAAAGTTGGAGGAGGGAGGAATGAGGGAAGAGGAGGGGAAGAGGAGTAGGGAGAACAAGGACTCTAACCACGATAGACGAGGATAGAGGATGGAGGATGGACGAAAAGCAGGAGAGCGACGAGGACTGAGGAGGAGGAGGGAGGAGGGCGATGAGCACGGATGGAGGAGGAGGGAGGAGGGTGATAAGCATGGACACACACACACGCACATGCGCGCACACTCCCCTTCGCACGGTAGCAGTATGCACTTCAACGCATCGGCCACGGACGCGGCGAACTCCAAGACTCACTGCTGCACCGTTTTCTCGTGGTGGCGCGTGAAATGCCTACCACTTCGAATTCAAATTCCCCCCGCCACTGTTGCAAGGGCATCACCGAAACATGTGTGCCCCTCGTGAGGGCATTTCGAGGACTGAGCGACGAAACGCCACCAGCGGTCCAGTAAGGGCATATCAGAAAGTTACGCCCCATGCTGACAGGGGCCTACGGAAAATTTTAGAGGCCCAAGGGGCACCACAAGGTAAGTCGGCCTTCACAAGGGCACGCCGCAAATAAACCCAAACTTCTGGGGCATTTCAATTTTTTTTTTTTTTTTTTCATACTCGCCACAGCATTCTCGAAATGTGAAAAAGACAAAAATGTGGTGTGTGCATCTGGCCATGTTCTAGCAGGAAGTTCATTCTCATTTTGCATATTTCGAGAGAGGTGTGGCAATGTTCATAATCAGGTTGAAATGGACGTGGGACATGAGGTGCAAGGACGCGATACCCTGTCGTTCACCGTACACCTCTTTAGGTCCATGAAACAAAGCATTCGGAGGGCCCCTTGGGAGGAACACAGGGCAAGTCAGACACGGCCCCCATTGAAGCCTCTGCTCATGTGGGGCAAATCATCGTTGAATGTGTTTGTTTTTTTTTTCCACAATCTTTGAAATTTCACCTTTTTTTTTTTTTTTTTTTTTTTTTTTTTTTTTTTTTTTGGCAAAGGCCCGTGCGCAAGACCTCTATCCTGGTGATGGTAAGAGAACCACCGGGATTGAGGCTTTGCCTGGCGGGCCGCTCCATCTATTGGTGGGGAGTGTCACCTGTTGGAAACCGGGTCCAGCGTCCCTTAAATAACTCATTGTCATACAGTACATCATTGGAAGCGACGCCAGTGCTGGAAACCGGGTCCAGCGTCCCATAACAGTAAATTCAACTAACCTTCCATGCAGTCGGGCCGGGTAATGGGGGGGGGGCACTGGGGGGCACCAGTGTGATCTCCCTCCCATCCCTAGCCCCTGCCAGTCGTCTAGCCTCCGGGCGTCTGTTGTATCCAAAACAATGTATCTAGCTGCTGAACCTCTACTGAAGGCAGGGGAAAAACAGCAGAAAGCAGAAAAAAAGCAGAAGACAGAAACCAAGAGATAGTCCTACTGATGTAT